TGAGAAAATTAAAAATGATATTAAAATGTTTGTGCCTCTAAATTAAAAAATTCTTAGAACTAACATTTGTTAACCTTTTGTTATGCCTATACTGTATGTTGTCGCCAATAAAGTCTGCTTAGTGAGATTTGTGCTGGCGAAATGGAAAAGTACCAAAATATCAACTAAACTGGGAGATAGAGGCCGACAAGTGCTGTGGAGTTTCAACAGGCATCCGGGAGTATTGTTTCAATGAATACCATTCGTAAGGAAGCACATCTGCTTGGTTTTCATGGTCGTGCTGGAGAGGATTGAAATAATCAGATTTTTTAATGAAATGTGTATGCAGAAATGACATCGAGAGGTTGCAGTAGGTATCATCAGAATACAGTAGGTATTCTGATGATGTATCATCACTATATGAATGAAGAGCTTGTCAGCATACTTTTCAATGTATGTTTATATTTATCCCTAATTATTATTTATCAATGATACATCTATTATGTCAGCATTCAGTTTATCTGTGGCTGAAAATGAAACTGCTACTTAAAGACATAAAGAGAAAGATTCCTATATACCTCTTTTTAGTAGCTCTGTTTTTGTGATTCCTTTTGCAGTTCTAATATATTAAATGAATATCTATGTTAACCCCAAAGTGATCTGTGGTGATTGGCTGTTGTGACAAAGCAGAAAAGTTATTCCAAACAGTTGTTCTTCCGAAACAAACTAATGTGTGATTGCAGCCTTGCAGACTCTACAGTGTTTTTGTGGGCACTGGAATTTTCCCGAGTGTGCGTTTTTTTCCAACTGGTGTGTTGCCGTGTCACCTAAAAGCCTATAAGGAAGATCATAGTGAAGTGATCGGCACACTGCTGTTGAGCTACTACTTGGTACATTTTCAGGATCGTGATGTTTAGTAACAGAAGCAATCAATTCTTCTGCCAGCATTCGTAAGAATTTTGAAAAGTTGTTTTGATATTTGGATTGAGCTTACGATACAAAACAAAGAGAATTGTAAAGAAACATGAGAACGCCTTTTTCTCCATTTGATAGGTTTTTAGAAAAATGAATAATATGAAAGATATTGTTCAGCAAGTTTTTAATATGTTGATTGTATTTAATTATGCACTTAGGCTTACAAACTTGCTGCACAGTTTTTAAATTTATTTTTCTAGTCTGGTCATTGTATATGGTGGATATCATTCAAACATCTTTCCATTTGAGAAATAGTACCTCACCTTTGCGCTGAAAATCAGATTCACCTATTTTCAATATGAGATCATTTAGTTCCTTTGGAAAACCCTTGTTCCTGTGTATACTACCATAAATACGCATTTTCTTCTTCAATAACTTTTCAGCTATCATAGTAATTGTCCATGTATACATGGTGCCATAAGTTTCTGTTTTTATTTAAAAGAAGTGAGAGAAAGACAGTTAAAACCATACCTTCTCTAGGATTCGAACCCAAGCCCATCACTACGGCAGTCAGGATCACTAAACATTATACCGGCTGGCAGCAAATTATTTTAAAGTTTGTTAAATACACTCACTTTCAAAAGTTAAGCATGAAGATGTAAAATGCAAAAAAATCAACAAATACTGCTTTGACACAAAATTTGGCAGGAAAGTAGCATATATATTTATGCATAAAACAAAGTCAATAATTATATATAGAAATGAAAACAATATTAAATTTTTGTAAGTTATCAGATAATGATATACTGGAGACTTAAACAGAATTATGTATAAAGTGAAAATAAATGGCATAAAATAAAAAATAAAGGACATTAATAGGATATGTGATCCCCCCTATCTGTATACAAAGTTTACACCTTGTGACCATGCTTTCAATTAGCTGGTCAACCACCGCAGAATTAAGCAATCGCCATTCTTCTTGTAGAGCAGTTTCCAGCTCAACAAGAGTGACTGGAGGTGGGAAATGTGAAGATATAGCATGGCCGAGAACATTCCAAAGATTTTCAATGAGATTAAGGTCGGGCAAATATGCTGGCCACGCCATACGCACAATCCCTTCACTCTCCAGGTAGTCATCGACGATGTCAGCTCTATGGGGACATGCGTTATTGTCCATTAAAACAAAAGTAGGGCCAACTGCTGCAGTGTACAATCATGCGTGATGTTTTGGGACTGATTACGTGTTCGTTGTTCATGCCATGTCCTTATACGCTTATTAAGAAAATAGCATTAAAAGAAAACATTTTAATTTTTCCATGTCAGATTTACTTTCCATTTTGGCGTCTTAAAAATATTTTGATTCTGAAAAATAAATATGATAGCAAATGCACAGTTTCCGAAGCACTTCCAGGCAAAAGCAAAACAGCTACTTAATTATTTAAAAATTAATTTCATCTGCCTTTTTTAATATTTTTTCATAACTTTGTTCCCATGTAGTTGTTTCAGAATATTCAAATGTGTGTCTTTTCTCTTAAAAAATCACTTTAAACTCTTCTTTTCTGAGTTTTTATTCAAAAATCTTCCAGCTTTTTGGTCATACGGAGTAGGATAATTTTTAGAGCTGGCATCTCAGAAGGTTTAAATGGATTTAAAAGCAAAATTTATCCTAAAATGTGATAAAATGAAAAAAAAAAAAAAAAAGTCTTCATGACATTAACACATAATGAGTGGGTTTTGTAGAGAATTTGTAATGAATTTGTTATTTTTTGGAGAATTTTTGTAAGAGCAGTAAAAAAATAGTTATTTGAATTTTCTTCTTTTGATGCTGGAAAGTCTTTTTCTTAACATGTTTATCTTCAGTTTATTTTTTCATCTTTTGACTAGACATAAAGTTGAAAATTGCAGAAGTGGTTTTAATCTTGTCACATGGACTGGCATCTGTAGAAAGGAATTTTTCTTTTAATAAAGAAATTGGAAACGGACAATTTAAAAGATTCATGTTATATATTTCAGTGTACCATACACAGGGCTAAGCATTTTGCCATCCTGTGCAATATCTATAGGTCCTGTGGTGAATTTGGCCTTTATGGGTTTTGTCCAGTATCTGTCCTCAATCCTAAAAATTTTATTAATCCCTAATCCTAAAATTTTAGTAATTCCTAATCTTTAAAGTCTGTTCTCAGTGTTTAATTAATTTCTAAAAATTATGCCACACTGGATGTGGCACTGGCCTTTATATTATTTCATATTTATTCTCAATATTCATTAATATTAAAAAAATAAAATTAGCATCTTCTATATATTCTAAATGCATGCAGTTCTTTAGAATAACAAAATCTTCAATTAAGTCTGAAATCCTAAAATGAAGAGAAAATTACTGAGAAAGAATATGATTACATAAAGAAAATTATTCTTCAAAGATATATTGTTAAAGAATTAACAAATTAGGAGATGAAGCAGACACTAGTGGGAGCAGTGATTTATTTATTGAAACAAATGTATAAAAAGTGCTAAAGAGAGGAATGAAGTAAATTAACTAAAATATCTGGAAAATTTTCAAATTAAAAAGATGCATAAATATTTTGTTGTGAATTGTTACTTAGAAATATATATATGTTGTAGCTTTTTATGTGTAATTATCCTCATATCATTTTATAATTATCATAAATTAAATGAATAGAATCATTATCATAAATTAAATGCATAATTATGTTCAATATTAATTTATTTTATTCTTAGAATTGTATTATAAGACTGTATTGTAGGCTTAGAAGTGAAGTTCAGGTATCGATAATTGCTTTTGTTTATTAAATTCATTCTCATAGGTGCTTAATATTTTTCATTAAGGGTCATTATTAAAAGTCCTTAATTTTTATGCACAGAAATGTGTACAAAAGCTCTTTCTGTTTATGTCACTCTTTACTTGCTTTTGAACTTTAATGGTTACTCATTGATCTCACATCCTTTTACACCCTAGCTTATCTGTGAATGGTGATATATGATGTAAGTTTTACTTCCTGTATATGGCAGACCTTGTAAAAATAACCGCAAAGAGACAAGATCAGCACCTGGGAGGGAGAAAATGTGATAAGGATTACCAAGCAATGGGCTTGTTGAGATTTTTAGCATTCGGTTATAAATAGCAGGACATGAATTTATATCAGTGACAACCAGGAATAGAATTTGAAATGATGTGAATTCACATCAGCGGCAACCATTAATAGAATTGGAAATGGTTTGAACTCGCATCACTTGTCATGAATGTGTTATAATGAACTGTAAATAGCTTAACTTTAATACTTATATAATTTTATTTATTGATGCTTATTATTTACTTAATAATTAATAAACTAAATAAAGCAGCAAATATGTTTTATATATATATAGTCTACAAAACACGAGAAGTTCAACATAGATTTGTATTCTATTGATAAAAGAGGCTGTTTAGTTTGGTGTCTTTTTGATTTTCCTCTAATAGTGGTAAATGTGGTACAAATATACAATATTCAATTTGTTTTTTAGAATGTTCTCAATAAAGTCATTTCTTCCTAAAACTGTAGCTTTTGCATGCTTTGCTGTGATATTAAGTCACTCAAAATGAAAATAGAAACACTTGGAAACTTGGGAAGCCTAAATTAATGAAACTTCGAAACCCACTTGGAACATTTGGAAAGCTTAAATTAATTTTGTCTTTTGGAAATTTAAAATTTTCTGTATATTATTTTATACATATTTGTGATGAAAGATATATGTGATGAAAGGAATAGAATTTGAAATGATGTGAATTCACTGGATCTGTGTTGTTGTAGAAACCAGTATTAATTTTTATATTTTTGTGTGCATTTTCAGTTGTTTGTCAATTTTATTTCCTCTCACTAAGAGATTTTATTTTACATACTTTCAGAATTTGAACCAACCTCTGTGATTTTTAGTACTAAATCTGAAAATTCATGCTTTATGCACAAATAAACTTTCAATGCTAATTTCTTCATTTAAATGATGCCTGTAGACAAAACTTGTTTAATCACAATTCCTACTGTCTTGTTTATTGAGCAGTCTTCTTTCAATGTTCAATTCTTTAGAAACATTGTTTTAAACTTTTATAGAAAAGGCAAGTTTATCAAGTTGAGAAAGTGCTCGCCAAACGCATTGTTCATGGACATTCTGAATATCTTTTGAAATGGAAGGGATACCCTGAGTATGTTTTTCCTTTGTGTAGATTTTTTTCATGTAATATTCGTAAATTAATTTTGTCTTATAAAATTCTTAAATAATTTTTAAATCTCTATATTTTTGCATTAATTTTTATTTTCCTTCGTTGAACAGAATTCTGTATTATGGAAAAAAAATTAAACTGAAAAATATTTTTGCCATGATATATAAAATTAAATTTTTATGTTAATAAGTTGAGGATAAGCAGAAAGTTGTTTATCAGAGTAAGGTTATAGTTTGAATATATTATAAAAATAGAGCTAATTTAATTATTTATTTTCAAAGTTGTACACTAATTTTCTTTTCCAAAGCAAATTTATTTAATTTTGAAAAAAATCAAGGGTATAAATGTTCAAGTGATTTATTTTAAAGATTATTAAAGTTATTTAGCACATCGTATATATCACATGTTGCTGTTGAAAGCTACAGAATTAAACAATTCACTTTTCCATTATGAACTCTGATCTGTTTGATTAAGTGCAATGTACTTTTATTTGGAAGACGGTTTTAAAGAATGTATTATCATAATATTCAATTACAGAGAAAATATACAATCTAATTTAATGAGAAAAAATATTGCTAAAATTTATAAAGTAGTTGTAAAGTAGTGATGTTTATAAAGTAGTGAAATAAGAAAATTTTCATGAATGGAAATGTTCTATGTATATATAAGTGTATAAAAATAGTTTATGGTCTAATTAAAATAATGGGTGGAGTGGTAAAATAGTGGTAGCTTCATTTGATGCTGACGGTAAACTCATTGATTAATTAGGGGAAGTATATCATAAATGTTGTAGATAGAGTTAAATTACATTTCTACTGAAAATTTGAAGAAATGCATATATTCATGTGTAAAACTAAAATCAAAGGAAAGTAGAATTGAAAGTTATAACTATTTTTCTTGAATTGAGAGAAAAGAGAAATAAGGTTGTAATAATATTGTAATAATCTTTCTCATATCAGTTTTATTATAAGCTTAATGCATTTGGAAAATAAGCGAATAAAGATTAAATTTAAAAACCAGTAATAAATTTTCACAATAGACATAAATATCTAAATTAAAAAATGCCATAGATTTTGTAAATATTCTTCATATTATTAGATGTTTACATTGATATTGCAAATTGATAACATTGTAAGCGAAGCAGAGATTAAATGGCTATATGTTAGATTTTTGTAAATTGTAAATAGAATTAATTAAAAATTTACTTTTTCTTTAAAAAATTTTCAATTTAAATGTAAATGATCTCCTGTTAGTGGAAGAGAAAACTGTTTTCTATCACTGTTTGAAAAAATAAACTACCTCAGCTTAATATTCCTTGCAGTGAGAAGAGTTTTGAGTTAGTTTTCAACAAAACAACTTTCTGTATATTGCATTTTAAGTAGTTGAATCTAGATTTAAAAAAAACTTTCAGATGTCTGCATTATTATTTGTTAAACCATAATAATTTCATCATAATTGAACCATAAGAAACTATTATAGATATACAAATATGTCATAAATCATAAAAAATATATATTTATTTCTATGTGAAGATTTATTTAAAAATATGTACAAAGTATGTACAAAGTACTTATGTACAAAGTATAATTATGAAATTTTAAAAAGCTTATGTCCTGAAATAAATTCTAGTTTAGAAAAGAAATGTGATATGAATACCTTTGTTTGTTTCAGAGATTTTCCTCTCCAGTTCAAACAATTTCATTGCCAATATTTCAGAAAGCATTTTTAAATTCCATACCTGTTATTTCATATTTAATTTATAATTGTTTTTCCAGTTTTCATAGAGGGCATCTAAGATTGTGATTTATTGTATTTCTCCTTCATTAACAAACTCTGATTCATTGTTATCATATTCATTATTATCATATCATATTATACTTTAATAATCAAGAAATCAGTGTCAAGAGATAAATAATCTGAAAATTAGTAAGTTTTTGAAATTCAAATTTGGTAGCTTCTTTACAGAATTCATTATTACCCTTTTTTTGTGAAGAGTACTAAAGATAAAGAAGGGTTTATGTTGGATTATTTTCTCCTGTAGGTTGAAATAATGGTAATTTTAACTGTGAAGAGGGCTCAAATGAGACTTCAAAATGACTAGGATTATTTTAGTTACAGTGGCTTTGGCTAAGATGATTAATTATTGGCATATGGGTTGTTGTAAGGACATTTTCATCACTTTCTGTATGTGCATATGAATGAATGTTAGACAATTTCACTTGAAAAGGCTTGCACAAGGGAACTTAGGCAGATAGCTCTAATGTGCTTTGCATAATTAAATAAATTAATCATTCTTTTAAATTCATTCGTATTTGCAGTTCATTATTTTCCTCAAATGTGTTTAGAATTCATAGTTTGCTTTGCATAATTAAATAATATAACCCTTATTTTAAATGCATGGGTATTTGCAGTTCATTATTTCTCTCACATGTCTTTGAAATTCATTGAAAAGGGTAAATGAATGTATTAATTTCTGCAGATTTACACAATGCTTCTAAAAAGATAACTCCTGTGAAGCTATATTATAAGCCATAGCTAAGCAGCATCCACAGAATTTTTTTTTTTTAAGCGTAATGCTCAATTCCAGATAACTAATAAGTAAAAATAATATTTTTGTGATGCATACTTTCTAGTACCTAGTTAACTGTTTATCCTTAGCAGCCCTACAAGATGTTATCTGATAGACTGCAGAGAGTTATCTTACTTTCTGTGAAAGATACTAAATACTAAGCTTATCTGGAGAAAACAAGAACTTTTAATGAGTTTAATGCTTGTGCGTTTGTAAAGTTAAGACAAGACACTAGTGAACTGCAATAATAATAATTTTCAGAGTATGATAAGATTACATGAATTGCAGATAGAAATAAGTTGGCCAAAGCTTTATAACCCTTAAACTGTCTCGGCGAAAAGTAAAATCTACCAAAAATTTTAAAAGTGGAGAAAAGTAGACAATTTTGACAGTTCTTGGTACTTGCATATTTTCCCATCAACCATTTTTGACAAACAAAAAAATCTTGCCAAATAGTATGATTTAGCACTAATAATGCTAAAGTGTGACATAATGCATTCATAGATGTTTGCTATATTGCTCTATTTAACCCTCAATAAGTCAATTTAGTTTTTGTTAAGAACAGTGAAATTTAACTATTATTTTTATGTTTATACTCGTTAAAAAGTATGCATTAATAGGTATGATTCAGAGTTTGCATCTGTTAATTAACTAAATAATGAGCAATTCAATTTTTCAAACTTTTGCCAGAACGACTGACATAAGTTTGAGCTCCTGTTTATTTAAATGTTCTAGATGTTTTATATCCACAAAATGTATATGTCATTTAAGTAAGTAAGTAAAGAGCGATCTACTCCTTCCAAACTTTCTGACAGAATTATTGGCTCATATTTGTCATGATCTCTGCTAACTTTCATGGTCAATGGAAAAATATGTTAAGAACCCATTTCTTAAGATGATGATAAAATGCCGTTTCATTAACTTTGATGGAGAAAAATGGAAAATATTTATTAACCTGAAAAAAATCATTAAGTGAAATCAAGATTTGACTGCATAGTGCGAAATAAAATTTAGTTTCTCTTCCATGTCGTTAAAATCTTATGCACTAAAGTTTCCTAGAATGATATACTATTTTAAGAGCAGCTTTCAATTGACATTTCTTACAGTTAACATTTCAAAACATAGATTTTTTTAAACTGTTAATAAGTTGTAATGAATATCTATAAGATTTATTATTTACAAATGTATTTATTATGATATAGTAAATATTTTTTTCTACCAATTGAGTTGTCTACTCTTTGTATATTAACATTTCTATTATTAACAGTTTCTAATTTTCTCAACAGTAGTTAATGACAAAACTCATTCTTTTTCTAATTAATCAAGCATGAAACTATCCAGGAATTAGTGTGTGTAATCTAATAGCTATATTTTTTGTATTCTTTTCTTACATTTGAAATGTATTAAATATGTTGCACTTCATGATTTTAAAATTTACTTCAAATGAAAATTTTCCTTTAACACAGCTGTCAAAATAGCTGGGAACCTGAAGAAAATATACACAGCAAGGGTCTCTTACATGAATTTGAGAGAAGACAAGAACTTGAAGAAAAGAGGCATTCAACTTCAGGAAACCCTTACTTGCTAGGCAGATGTGCAACTAAAAATGTGAAAGTAACATCTAGTGTATGTTTTCTTGGTACTACTTGATTTTAATGATCTCCATTATCAAAAATATCACTAGATTTAAACTGTTCTCATGTAGTTTGTGGCTGCTATTCTCTGCTATTACTTTTAATGTGGCATAAAAAGGCTTATCTTTCTCAGAGGATTTCTGTCCCATGAATTCTAAAAGGCACGACTCTAGATAATGTCGGCTCATACGCCTTTGCTTTTTGTTTCCCCATTTAACAGAGCCCCACAATCTTTTCACATTTTGAGTGTAAGCAGAGTTGTTGGATCAACAGAATTACATTTGTGATTCACTGTTAAATGGCTGAAACCAGCCTTTTCAAGCTCTTCTGTTTTATAGGCTCACCAACAATCTGAATATATTGTCAGTCCTTTCATTACATGATCTACAATTGTTGATATTAGTGTGCTTACTTCCTAATTTGGAATGTGAACAAGAAAGCACTCATCACTTTCATGGCAAAAGCCGCCAAATATCCACTGTTGTGAAAGTACACTGCCAGCGTTTTTTTCCCCCCCCCCTGTACGAACAAACTGGAGTCAGTTTCAACTATTTTTCCAGACTCACCTGTTTGTCCTATAGGTTAATCTAAGTAAATCTAGCGAATAAACCTCTCTTATAAAATTGTTCTAGTCAGTCATGGTATTTTGACACATGTTGAGGTGTTGATTGCAAGGATGGTGAAAATTCCTAATAATTTATATGAAATACCTTATATTCCTTATCCTTATATGAATACTTTGGTTTGCTGATTTGTCTTACTCTAATTTGATTGGCTAATAATGATTTATCTATTCACATTTTCAAAATTTATTGCTTTGAAATATTTGTTTATTGCAAATAAATGTTTGTGAATTAATTGTTATAAATTAAAAGCTGTTCGAAAGAACTGATATTTTCAAATTATCCACATGGCCCACCAGCGGCCGAGCAGTAAAGTCATTGAGCACTGGTAGTTCGGTGAGGTTCGAATCCCACGAACGGGCTGGCTGCATGGATGTTTTCGTGGTTTTCACAATGTGTAACATGTATATGAGCCAGTTTCCCTTAGAAAGTCCTCCACGAAGGCATCACTCCCCTTAGGCAGATAGCCCTAGTGTGCTTTGCCGTAATTAAATACACACACACACAAATTATCCACACCTATTGAAAAGTATTCATGAAGCAAGGTGTTTTGGTGCCAAAAAAGGCATCTGATAATGTGACCAAAGTGTATATATGTGGCAACCTCAGTATGCAAGTACGTGCAGCAGGTGAGTGTTGATTTTCATGTTTCCATTCTGAAATTTGATAGTCACTAATGTTTGTTTTTGTTGCACTGAGTGCATTTTTTATTCTTGTAAGGAGTTGTAGTGGAGCTGTGGAATTTGCCGGCTGTTGAAAAAGAAAGTGCTGCATTTCTTCAGAAATATAGCATTTTGTTTATCAGTAGAGAATGCAAAAATTCACATTCCATGAAGTTATGCTTCATAAATGATCAAATTTGTGTGTCAGTGCTGAATTTGTGCAATTCTGTGAATTTATTTTTTTTCAATGCAAAACAAATTCTTCTTTGCAGAGGTAAACAACAGCATCTGCAATGCCAAATTTATGCAGTTCTGATGTTTTTTTAAAGAAAAAACAGATTGTATGTACATGAGAATAATAGGGAAACAATAGGTGTTTTGTTATAGCTATTTCTTGCAATTTTACTTTTGCTAATTGGTTGCTGCTTTTTGCAATTCTTAATTGCACCTGCATTTTTGAAAATGAGTATTTTCTTTTGCATCTTAACTTGGTGAAAAGTTAATCACCAATCATTAATGGTTGTATGAAAGGGAAGTACAGATGATCAGAAAAAAGGGATGGTACACCTTTTTATGTGGTAAAAAATTGAGTTCTGACTGTTTTATGCCATAGTCTTTCTGGATAAAAGTGTCAGTTGCAATTTTTTTAACTTTTTTGGTATGCCGGTATAATTAAAATATAGCTATAATTAAAATAAGTATAATTAGGTAGGTATAGGTTGTTGTTTGACTTCTGAATTAGGTATAGGTACAGTTAAAATTTTGTTAAGGTAGGAAATCTGTTTTGTTTTCAAAAGGTATTTAAGACACTGAACCTTAATATATCTTTTATTAAGACTATTTAATAGAAGTCAATCAGTCTTATCTGGACCTTCAAAGTATTATCCGTGTATTCCTTCTCTTCTTTGCCTTCCAAGCTTGCTGTTTATTATTGCACTTTCTTCAGATATTAGAAAGTACTTGACAAAACTATCCCTTCCCTTAGGCAGATAGCTCTTGAGTACTTTGTCATAGTCAAATAAACTAAACTAAATTTTATATAGATACCCAAACCCAGATAACCAGATAAGAGATTCTAATGCAACCAACAGTTCAAGAATGGCTGCATATCTTCCTTCAGTTAAAACTGTAATAATATAGATTCTGATGATGGAGTGACAATGCATAAAAGATGTAAAAATAATTATAGCACATATTTATATTTTATTTTTTAGCGAAATAATTTTTTGACATGTATAGCTAAGCTGCACAAGACATGCACCCTTTCTTAAATTTTTTTTTTTTTTTTTCATTTTTAACGTTTTACTGATTGAATATACATTTACATTCTAAAAGAAATCTGTATGTTGAGAAGTCTCAGAGTGAGCTTTTGACCTAGTGATGTGATATTCAGCTTCCACGTGACCGACTTCAGTTCATCCCCATGCCATTTATTGCTTTCAGGGTTAATGAAAGGTGGCAGCACCACATTTCCTATCCTTTCTAGTAAATGACACCATAAGAATCTGCATAAAGTGAACTAAAGGCCAAAGGCTGCCATGCGTGTATTAAATATGTTAATGAGAAGGTAATTAATGGTTATTAAATTGTCATTTCTTACACACAAGTTTTTCTCTCTTCTCTTAATATTTATTAATATAACTTATTGATCTTTTTCTCTTTCCAACATATTAATAATTTCCTTATATATAAACATTATCATATTTTTCTGAAATATTCAGTTTGGGATGTACTTGATAATACTATTTTAAAGTCTTGTTCAGCTTGGTTTACATTCATCTAATTATTTGTTAGCAATTATCATTTTCTAAAACTGTTAATTACTTGGTACTGAGGCATAGTTTGAAAATGTCTGGAAATAGTATAATATTTTAAACTACAAATTGGGAGCTCAGAGTTCTTTCTTAATTTATAGTTTGCACAAGTAATTTGGCAACTAATCAAATGTAGGTCTTTTGTATTTTCCTTGCATGAATTGTGTAACACTTAAGATAATTTGAATCTTACTAAAGTAACGTGTTAGCTAAAACAGATTATTGTACTTTTGCAGTTTATCACTGTAACAGAAAATAGAATTTTTATGCATAAATTTTAATTTTCTTAGTTTGTTTTTAATATCTTTTAATATTTTTATTTTCTAGGGGGTATCTGGAACTATTATTTCTAGTTCTTTATCACAAGTTTTATGTGTGCATCCAGAAGAATTTTTGCAGAATGAACCTTTTAAGAAGCAAACAAATTTTAGTTCAAAATCTGCTAAAAATGAGATGGTGGGGAAAATAATGGAATGTACATCAGGCATCTTACAAGAAAGTGTTAAAGGCAGTAATAAGGAAGCTTTATATTCAGTTTACTTGCCCAAACCAGGTGAATCAAACCAGGTGAAATTAGTTCTGGATGAAAAAAATCAAACAAGTTTATTACAACTTTCATATTTAGATCCAAAAATTCCTTTGGAGTGTGAAAAATTACCGCGTGAAATTATTTTGGACAGTAAATATATGAAAAGCTTTGAAAGTATATCTAATTTTGTTACTGACATTAAAGCTGCTGCTGATGATGATGTACAAGTATTAGACCATGTATCTAATAAACAAAATGCAACCTTGGATGGAAATATGCAGTCTAATATCACATGTCATAAAAAAAGACCAGGCAGACCAAAAAAGCAAAAAGTTGACATTCTTAGTTTTGCTAGCAAAGACATATCGCATGAAATTACTTTGGGCATTAAATATATGAAAAGCTTTGAAAGTAAATCTAATTTTGTTACTAAGATTAAAGCTACTGATGATGATGTACAAGTGTTAGACCACGTATCAAATAAACAAAGTGCAACTTTAAATGGAAATATGCAGTCTAATACCACATATCGTAAAAAAAGACCAGGCAGACCAAGAAAGCAAAAAGTTGATATGCTTAGTTTTGTTAGCAAAGAAAAAAATGGTTCTCTGAAAAGTGCAAAAAGATATTCTGAGAAAATAATTGTGTCTGGTAAACGTTGTCGTGGTAAACGACCATCTAAATGGAAAGATTACATTTTGGAAGATTTTGATGAAACAGCTTCATTTACAGAAGCTAAACAAAAGGAAATTTCAGAATCTGAAATGGATATCTCTGTTGACAGTAATATTAAAGCAGATTTGACAGCTGCGTATGATGATAAAGGGATCTTGCCTGTTGGCACATCTAGGCATATTAATAAAGCTGTTGTGCCCAAACTGACTAGATCTATTTTTGATGTTAGAGATCTGTCACACTGTTATAGTGCAACTGAGAGCAAAATTCAGAAATTCCCATCCACAACAAACCATATTAGGCCTGATAAATTTGAATCACCATGTCATATAATGGTACAAAACATGGCTTCAAGTTCATCATTCCTGTCAAGCTCAAAACCAGAATTTAACCAGAGGACATTATCTATAACTCCAATATTTAAGATTAATACTGTTTTATTCAGACAGCCAGTGCATCCAATTCCTGACAATAGTAAGAAACCTCTTAATGATAATGAAGATAAAATTTCGGTTGTAGAATCAGCTGATGGAAATTCTGCTGATACTAATATTTCAGTCAAAGAAGGTGATATCAGTTTTTGTGAATTAATACAAGACCCCAATTTTAGTCCCTTGAAAAAAGTTCCTGTTCAAAAACCCACCCAGTTGCCAGATGATCTCAAAAAAAGGCCAACTGGGGGAGGAAGAAGAAATGCTCAGGGCATGAAGCGAAGACCTGGACGTTCTTGTAAAGGAGAAATTAATTGTTTAGCTAATTTATCATACATGGGTACTACTCTAAGTGAGTTGAAACAAAGAAAGTACTCAATAGTAAGAAGAAAAATAAAAGAAGAGCAAGAAATTAAAAAGAATTGTGTGTTTGTTGCTATGCAGGATGGAACAACTGTAGAAATTAATGAAAAGGACTGTCAGAAAGCTGCTTTTAAAGCTAGAGCTAAATTAGAAACAATTCATAGAAGCATTGGAAAAATTTGGGAAATTGAAAAAGCAAAATGCAGGGAAACTAATAATTATCAAGATGATCCAAGGAAATGTGGTGCCACAGGTACTTATACTGTAAGTATTAATGCATATAATTTGTTTTCATATTTTATTATATGTAGTACTTATCATTTCATATATTATTTGTAATGAAAATCTTTATTTATATTTTATAGATGGGAAAACTAGGTAATACTCATCTAGCTCTTAAGGATTGCACTTCGGAAACTTTTGATGATGGTAATATGGCGATACTACCGAATTCTGTTCAACTTGTTCAAAGTAACATTCCACTTAGTGAAGCTCGTAACTGCGATAAACTTTCTGGCAAATTTTTATTTCGCCAGATATATTCTCTCGGTGATAACACATTACAATGCTTATTTTGCCGGAATAATTCTCTTTATGTTGCTACTGATCTTGCAAAGCATTATCATATTATTCACGATTTGGCAGTTGTCACTGATAAGGCAGAATTTGATGAGAACATTTTATTTTTTATTGTGCCATCTGATACCAATGGAGAAACAATTTTTAATCATACTTGTCAGATTTGTAACACTATGGTTAAAACTTTATCTGAAATTCAATATCATTATGTTAATGGCCATGATAAAACAGTGAAGTTAGTTCATGAATCTGATATTACAGGAATAAAAAATTTCTTTTACTGTGCATTGTGTGGTCACCCTTCAGTAGATTTTACTTCTCATCATCAGCATATGAAAGTCATGCACAAGATGCAAACATATGTTTGCCATTACTGTACTTACTGCACATTCAGCCCAGACAGACTCAGAATTCATGTGAAGCAAAGGCATTTGCAAGAACTTGAAAAACCACATTTGCAGTGCAGTGTGTGCTTAGTGTATGTACATGACAAAGATAATCTGACCAAGCATATTGTGTTATCACATGCTGTTCGAACTGGTAAGTGGTTCTGTTTTCAATTTGAAATACTTTAAAATATTTATTGCTATTCAACTTTGTGTAATTCAACTTAATCATAGATATTTTGTATTGCATTGAAAATAATTAAATATCCACAATACATTTTCTTTAAATAATAGCTATGTATATTTCAAAATAAATTATGAAGTTTTTAAGATCTGCAAAATGGATACTGATACAAAACTGAATAAACTTGTTTTCCTAGTTTCATTTATCAGCCTTTTAAAAGCAGTAAAAAGTTATTTTATGCAAAGGTAAATGTGTTAAAACACTCATTTTGCTGTATTTGTTATCAGTTTTTACGATTATATGAAATCAAAATATTTTACATTAATCGCAATTCAGTCACCATGACTTTATCCTCTTGTTTTGAAATTTGAAGATCATTTAAAAGTGTGAAAATGTATTTAGATTTCATTGTACAATTGGACCTTGGTATCTCAACTCCCTTGGGATATTGGTAAAAAAAGTATTGCCTAAGTAAGTGGTATCATGCATTTAACATTACATCAGTGTATGTATTTTTTAGAATAAAATCAGTTGCACCACAAGCAATTTCTTTGAAATCCTTGTTATCTCAAACTTCTGATTCCTGTGTTGGGGCAGAAATAGTGACTAGTGTTTTGTAGCCTGAAGATTTGTTTGTAGTTCCCATGTTTTGTAGATATTCAGTTCCATGTGTTATAAATAACGAACTATCTTAAGCCTGTAATGGATAGAGAATTTTCAATGACATTCAACTTCCAATGTAATGATCGGTTGAGCTAAGCAGACATTTCTATAGATTCCCTGGTTTCGCACATTATTGCCCTTGATAATATGTTGGAGATAAAAAGAGAAAAATCTATTTTTGGTAGAACAAAAAATTGAAATTTTTAAATTTTCAGTTGGAAAAAAAAATTAAAATGTTAAAGCATTTCCAAATACTCTTGCAAGAAATTAAAAAAAAAAAAAAAAAAAAAAAAAAAAAAAAAAAGAGAGAGAGAGGGAAGTGAAGAAAATTAAAATATCTGAGTATTCAGATAAAATAATGTGTTATAAAATAGCTCTGGCAATGCATTGTTCAGAGAACTCCAGTTCCTGGACCAATGTTACAATAGACAGCCTTTGACTTTGCTAAGAACTTGGCTATAGTAGCAATGAATTGAAAGCTAGCAAAGCATGGCTTAAAAACTTAAAAAGCAGGCCGACTGTCATTTTTAGAGAGCTTTATGGCTAAAGTGTGTCAGTTAATGAAAATGTCTGTTAGGAATGGTTGCAAGAATTTTTTATTTTTTCTATTTCAGGATTAGAAGCCCATTGATGTATTTAATGATGATGAAAAATGAGTTATTTCATTAGTCTGATAAGTCTGATATTTAATAAGAAAAAAGAGGCATGGGGGAAAAAAAAAAGAAAAAAAAAAGAAAGTTGATAGCATGTGGCTATAAAGAGTGTTTCATACTGAATGTGACAAAAATAATAGCAAAGTACAATTTCTGCAATTCATTTATTAAGCCAAAACACATTAATTCTCAAACTACAATCATACAAGTTTTGTTTGATAACAGCTAAAAATCTTCCAGTTACAAAATCAATGCTAGAGGCTCTGTTTATCAAAATGGCACCATCCATGCAGGAGAAAGCATACTGTGTTTTGGAATATGCCAAAATAGTACCATTTATCATCGTTCAAAGACATTTTTCACAAAATTTGGCAAAAAACATTCAATGGTGAGTGAAGCAGTTTCAAGACACAGGTTGCTTGTGTAAGAAAACCGACACAGGACAAACAACAGCCCAAACTAAAGTGGTTGAAAACAAAAATCGTGAATTTTTTTTTTTTTTTTTTTCAATTTCCACAGAATCAGCGTATTGTGCAAGTTCTGAACTTAATATGCCTCATGTAACAAGTGTTGCATGTATTACAGAAATGTCTACAATTCTAGCCATACACCTTTTCGTTTGTGCAGGCATTAAAAACCTTCCAACAAACCATTTTGTAAAGCTTTCTGTGAGAATTTGCTAGCTAGAGGTAGATAGATGGTTATGTGAACAGACTTGTGTTTTCGGATGAAGCCACTTTTCATGTTTCTGGCAAAGTTAATAGCCATAATTTACGATTTTGGACCGCAAAAGGTCGACATGATGGAACATGAGCAGGATTCTCCAAAGGTCAATACGTTCTGTGCTATTTCCAACAGTTGTATTTTTTATTCTTTTTTTCTTAAATAAAGCAATTACATTATTCACAGATATGCTTCCTTTTTATTTCATTCAATATGAAACACCCTGTATGTTATTAGCACCAAAATAAGTGATATGATGCTGCCTGACTGCTGAGGGATGTAAGCAGCAGTGAAGGGGGAAAATGTCTTTTAAGCTGAATTTCAGTGTAAAAAATCATAGCATAATACATTTAAAGTATAATTTTTCAATCATTTTTGCTTTAAAAAAAAAGAGGTAAAAGTTGGGTTTTATAATGTATGAAATATCAATACAGTATCATGCTTATGAGTGAAGGAATTTAGACCTGTTTAATAGTTGTACTTATTCAAAAAATTATTTAATTTTGTGAAAATTACAAAATAATAATATAATGAAGTAAAATACTTTATCAAAAATAGCTTTTAAAGTTTTATATTATTTTGATTAACTATAATAAATTATTTTAATTGTATTTGTGTTCATTATTATCATATGGGGAGTAAGAGCCACTGTAATTTCTTGTGTTACATTGTCCAACTTTTTTATTAGGTGCTAAAGTATGGTCATGTGAGATGTGTCTGTATCCTTGTGGTGATCCTCAAGAAATGGTGACTCATATACCCACTTGTCCAAAATTACAAAGGAATTCCGAAGTGAAAATTGATGAAATACCATATAGTAATTCAACTAATATCTCTTGCAGTTGCAATCACTGTTTTTTAACATTTTCATCTGAAGAAGAGTTAAAGGTAAGAAAAACAGTTTTTCCCTATAGTAATTTACAAAAGATTATTGTAATTTATTTTATTAAAATTTACCTGCTTGTTTATTTTATGATATTCAGTTTTTATTTCTATTATTGTCAAAAAGTACTAATGCAAATAATGAATGTTAGCACATCTGGGATTTGGTTCTTAGCAAATGACCTAGTTTGTGGAGATTAAATTATGCCCTTTGATAGTTTAAAATATCTTAAATGGAATCAAATATCAACAAACTCATATGTGTTAAAGTTTACATTCTGCTAGAAATTTTTATGGATTAATGAATGTCTCATTTGTATCAATGAAGTGTATAGAATTAGAAAGATCATACTTTTTAATTTCGAGCATTTTATTGTGGTTAATGTTTATCATATAAGTTCAATGCATTTATTTGAAGGCCTAAATACAGCAACTCGAAACATGCTTAATAATGATGCTTATCATATGTGATTTATTTATGAGCATGCAGTTATTTGCATTATGTGACCTCTATAACGATTCCCCCAAATCCTAGGATATAACTTAAAATTCATATTTTCATCATAAGTCAGTGTGTTTTATCATATTTCATAAAACAGTTTATTATGTTTCTTCCCTCTGTCTGAATAAACGTGCTTTTAATGCAATAGTCATCAGTAGCTGAGTGGACGATACCACTGAGTATTAGTAATTTGGTTCAGGCTCGAATTCTAGTGAATGGATAGCCTGCATGGGATTTCTACATTCCCCATGTGTAACATAAATATAAGCCAATTCCATTCAAGAAGTCTTCCACAAAGGCATCCCTGCACTTGATAAATAACTCTTACATGCTTTATCATAATTGATTACTTGCAGAATAGATATACAAGTAAAATGAATTGACTAAACAAACTAATTAGACTTAAGTATGTGCAGTAACTCGAAAATTGAAACCTGGCATGAATTTACAATACTTTATGATTATCGGCACTACCTTCCCCAGAAAAGTCACTAGCTCATAACTTACTGACTTTTCGCCAAACTGATATACGAAAGACAACAGTTATTTTGTTAATGGTGGTGCACTAAGAATTTCACGTGCCTACATGTTATTGCAACCACCTTAGTAGAAGTCTGTAAACTCTATCAACCATGCCCATGACAAATCCTATCCATTGTTAGCTGTAATCTGAAAATTCACCAAATCACCTTCTTTCTTCTGTAAAAAATCATCAAACTACGCCAAGGTGGTTGCTCTAATATGTAAGTACTGAATTTCATACAATAGTAAGTAAAGTTAAAAAAAAGCAAGAAAAATCCACAATAAAAAATTTTCTTTTTTTAAAGAAATTCTTATGCATTTTTTTGACACTGTTGTTCTCCTCATGTACACAATGATCTGTTTTATGAGGAGGGAGAATAAGAAAAAAATGTATGCATTGCACATGAATTGTTTTTGTCGATAGATATACACATAAATACATTATAGAATAAATACAATATGTTTTGAAATTTGTTATGTTTATTTTTTATAGCTATGCTCAGGTGCTCCTCTCAAAAAATAATATCTCAAATTTACATTACAGAAAAAAGAATGCATAAGGAAAACATGCACATAATGCATAAGGAACGAATTATCAAATCATTGCCACATGACACTGCAAATAGTATAATAAAACTAAAAAGATGTATAATTAAACATATAAAAAAGAAAATTTTTTTATAGACGATCAATGTTGCTTACAATTAACATGCATGCACCATTTCTAAACATTCTCCTCTGTCTGAGACAGAGAAGTAACAATATTTTTCTGCTATTTCATAACACTCCTGCCACTGAAATTAACAATTTCAAAACTATTATTACAAAGAATATAGATGTAAAGGCACCACAATAAAATATAAAAAATAACAAATTATAATACCGACAAATATGCATTGAAATCATTACAGCAAAGATTTTCAGCAATTACCTGTTAACAACTACTCAAATTTTAGCAACAAATAAGTGTTTATAATAGAGATATACAACAATCACTCTACAGAAAGTAGAGAAATATCTCAAGCATTTCGTTTTAACAAAATATGATTAGGCAATCTTATAGTAACTACTCTTATTCTGTTACCTCTACCATGAAAAAGCTCAGCTTTCTCCCTACTAACCATTTGGTTGAAGGTAAATTTTTATCTTTTATTATTACAATGGTTCCCGACTGAATATCTTCTTGTAAAAATCTCCACTTGTGATGTTCTTGTAAATTATCAAGAAATCACGTATCCAAAATATCCAAATTTTCTATGTGTACTTAGTAATTCTTTGCCATTTAGAAAGTCTGTTTTAATTTATGTTGGATAAATCTGGTTCAGCAAGAGTTGTGAGAGTGATGGGGGGATCAAAGTTCCAGAATTGTTGTAATCAGCTGAAATTGGAGAGAGTGATCTTGAGTTCAGTACTCCTTCAATTTCTGTTAAAATAGTTAAGAATTCTTCTAAAGTTAAATACTGATTACCAACAGCTCTTTTCAAATGACTCTTGAATGATTTAACCCTGGTTTTCAAAGTCTGCCGATATCTAATGACTTAGGAGGAATGAATTTCCACTCTGTACCTTCAATAGTATAAAAATTTGCTAAATTCTTGTCTGAACGCTGAACTAGTTTTCGCGATTTTTTAATTTCTACATTAGTTCCAATAAAAATTTTAGAATTATTACTTATTATTCTAGAGTATTTTCCCCTTCTTGGGGGGGGAACTTTTAAAATTGCAATAAAAAATTGGCTAGTTTGGTCTGTTACCAGGTCTAAGTGTATGGCTTTTGTACTCATATATACATATACTACAATGTAGATTTTGTTCAAAACTCCCTTACATTAGTTCATTATAATAAATGGGCCTCAGAAATCAACACCAGTGGTGTTAAATAATTATGATGGTGTAACACGCTGTTTGGGCAACTCAGCCATTAATTGTTAAATTGTGACAAGTTTGTATTTAAAATATGTTGCACATCTGTATGTGATCTTCCTACAATTGTTTCTGCCATGAACTGGCCAGAACTTTTGTTGTACCTGATGTAACAGAGATTGTGATCCTAAATGAAAGTATTTCAGATAAAAATACTCCAAAATAATAATAATTAAATGATGCTTACCTAATAAAACAATAAGGTGTTAAATACAGTCAAAAGTCGTTAATCCGGACTCGTCGGGACATCGGCGATTCCGGATTATAGATCATCAGTTTAAATCTGGTAAGATGGCATGCAGAAATTACAAAATTAAAAATATGAAACCGTAATTTATGAAATAGAACAATTATGATCTAAAGGGTATCAAAATTTACAAAAGAAAAAGCTTAATATTTATTTGTTACTTTATTAAACATTTCCTTCAATGTAAGTTGCTTCATTTCATGTGATAATACTTTCTCTTTAATTCTATTAAACAGACATAATTTCTTGTTTAGTTACAAAGTTCCGCTGTTCAAGTCCTATAATTGCCTGTTGAGAATACCGACTAATTTGTCAATCGAAATGTTTTCGTTTTCAATAACCTCTGAGGTCACTTTCTTCACTATCGAAGCGAATTATAATGACAAGGAACTTGATTTAAATCATATCAAAGACGGAGTACATCGAGATGAAATACTACACTTAGTACGGAATTATAAACCAAATAAAATAAAAACATCTGCCCTGAAGATAAGGATAGTGCTGACAGATCAACTTCCAATCCGCGGCGTGAAATTGATAAACAGATTTCGGATTTCAAAACATACTTTCCGCTTTGTAGATACAAATTACATATTAGTAAATATATCGGAAATTCTATTTGACATAATCTTTCTAATCTATCATAATCTAATAATGACGTTTCTGCCCCCCCCTTCTGCCGCAGAGTAGCGTGAAATTGATAAACAGATTTCGGATTTCAAAACATACTTTCGCTTTGTAGTAAATATATATCGGAAATTCTATTTGACATAATCGAAAGTTCAAGCTTACTTTTATAAAATTGCTCTAACAGTCTGCAAAAAAATAATAAGCCTGATCCAATTCGAAGATTAAGAAACAACGCAATCTGCAACATTAACTGAATTAGATAACTTCAGCTTAGCTTATAACTCCCGTTACACATTAAACGCGCATGCGCACAAACATATTCGCAGCCGTAAGGGTCTTACGCGCTCTCGTAAATGCCTGTGCGCATGCGTGAATGCGACGTATGCGCAGAAAGTTTGTAGCTTTGAGGTCCGGATTATAGATCATTCCGGATTATGGGTGTCCGAATTAATGACTTTTGACTGTATTAGCGGGTAGGTCTGAATGGGACAATCGTTCACTCAATCTAATTAGCCCCATGTTGTCAAGAAAGACATTTAGGGACACTAGTTTACTTTTGGGATGAACATCCTTACCCTACTTAGTTGATTTATTTCTTCTCTGAAATAATTTTTTTTGGGCCTATAATAAAATCCACCCTCAGCTCTTTTTATCCTTTGCAAAGAAAATACTCCATACCTCCATACTTTGGGATTCTTACAATTATGGATAAACCTGAAAATGAGACTTACAACACAAAAAGTATAATTAGCAGACAAATTAAGAGTATCATAAAAGATTTTGTCCACTACATGCAATTAAAACTTAAGTTAGAATTGTTATGCAGTTCATCAACCTTTTAAATTTTGTTTAGACACACTTCTTCAGCAAACTCAGTTGACAAATCCTGATGAGGAATCACTGGACATGTTAGAAAGACACAGCATGACTACTATTTGGATCTGTTCACAAGAAAGTCAGCTTTAACACCACACATTGGAATATCTGCTGGATTGTCTTTCGTTGGACAATAGAAGCAGTTTCTTGGCTATATTAACTTTTTAATCTTGTTAACTCTGTTGCCGATGAAAGATTTTCATTTGGTTCTGTACCTTTAATGCAGCATAGCATTATTTTTGTGTCTGTCCAATAGAATATTGTCAAGAGGTTCTTTTTTATCACACAACGTTTTCGCCTTGGAAAT